TATATATTTATGTATTTAATAATATGCTTATTCATTTATATTTTTTTCAAATAATTAGTACAAATTGAATACTTATACAAAGCTTGAATACTTATTACTTTACTTGCAATACGAAGTATAATAGAAAACATTTAAAAGGTTAGATTCTTCATAATATAAAATTGCATATATAAAATATAAAATTGTAATTTAACGTCGTCTTTTTCTTCTCTTTTTCTTCTTTATTTCTTTTATTCTTTTTTTATTACATAGTAAAAATTTAAAATTAAAAACTATTTATTTCCTTGGAAAACCTATCTTTTTGTAACTCGGTTTCCTATCTAGATTATACATAGTTTCATATAAACGCCACGTCTATGATATGTCGACTGTAACCTGTTTGCCGGTTAGTTAAAAGTGTAAAACAGCAGTGAAAGAAATTCCTACATAAAAAAATATGATTTATAGTAGTTTAATTATATCAATATGGAATTTCGCGTTATTTTTTGGATTATATATCCAATCTTTTGCTGCTACCAATATCATCGATCCTGATTTAAACTTTAAGAATGTGGAAAAACATATCGATTTGCAATCTCAATTAACAAAAATTACAATTAGACTTGTATTAGAAAATGGAAGTAAAGATCGCCACATACGAAATTTTCTTTTTTCATTAGAACCTGAACAAAAGAATAGTCTTAGTTATATAGCTGCTTATAGAGAACCAGTACGAGTTGAATTAAAATTAAGCGAGGCAAAGGTAAATGCTTATCCAGATAAAATTTTTTATCAAATTGAATTAAAAGATCCATTATCTCCTGGAAGAACTATGTCTGTTGAAATAGAATGGATATTGACACATGAGCTTATACCTCATCCCAAAGAGATTACACAAAAAGAAAAGCAATTAGTAAAATACATAGGAAATATTTATCTTTATACACCTTATACTATAATAAAGCAAACAACTACTGTATCTTTACCATCACGTAATATTGAAAGCTATACCAAATTTAAACCTGTTTCACAAAGTGATTCATTTATCACATATGGTCCATATGAGAAACTTAGTCCATTTTCTTATGAGGAATTAAACATACATTTTGAAAACAACAATAAATTCCTTACTGTTACCAGACTTGAAAGAAATATTGAAATATCACATTGGGGTAATATAGCAGTAGAAGAACACATTGATTTATTACATACTGGAGCATTACTAAAAGGTTCATTTTCACGATATGAATTTGCCAGAGAATCAAAATCATGGGAAGCAAGTATTCAAAGCTTTGATACTATTTTACCTGCAGCTGCCTCAGATATTTATTACAGAGATGAAATTGGCAACATTTCAACATCACATACTCGTATTAAGAAAGATTCAGTTGAATTAAATCTTCGTCCAAGATTTCCACTCTTTGGAGGTTGGAAAACTAAATATATAGTTGGATATAATGTACCTAGTTATGAATATTTATTTCATTCTGGAGATTTATATACTTTAGAAATGAGATTATTGGATCATATTTTTGATGATATGGTTATAGATGAATTAGTTGTTAAGATTATTTTGCCAGAAGGTTCTAAAAATATTGAACTTAGCCTGCCATATCTTACAACACGTTTACCAGATTCTCTTCATTATACTTATTTAGATACTACTGGTCGTCCAGTAATTTCTGTTACTAAAAAAAATTTAGTTGAAAATCATATTCAGAATTTTAAATTAAAATATACATTTCCACGTATATTGATGTTACAAGAACCATTGCTTGTAGCTGCTGCTTTATATTTATTATTTTTGCTAGTAATTACTTATGTTAGACTTGACTTTTCAATTGACAAAGATGAAGTTTCAGAAAGTAAATTAAGAATTGCTGGACAGTGTGAAAAGATCTTAGCTGCACAAGATCGTAGAGTAACTTCTTATAATGAATTAGATGATCAATTGGCATATCTTAAAGCAAATAAAGATGCCAATACATTCTTATCTGTGGTAAAAGGTATTAATCAAGAATATAAGAATGCAACAAGTTCTATTACAGAAATTATACAACGTTTAAAAGGAGAATCAATAGATGTATATGATCGTGTTCAAGAATTACAAAAATATGATAGAAATTTGAAAGAACTTTATAATCAACAACAAGCATTATATGTAGACAAATTAGTACCAGGCAAGATAGGACGTCAACAGTTTGTAGAAGCAGAAGCAGCTATCACAAAAAAAAAAGAAGACTGTGTTGAGAAAATAAATTCTATCATAAAATCTTTACAGTAACAAAATTTTTCAAAATATTTTGACATAAAAAATATTTGAGAATAAAAAATTCTATAAAAATAATTTAGCAATAGCTAAAATTTTTAAATAATAAGTTTTATCTTTCCTCTATAATGAATTAAGATTTGTAATTTCAAAAAATTGTAATAAACATAATTTGTAATAAATATACATGATAAATTATACATTTAATATTTATTAAAAATTATAATATATTAATTTAAAAAATGCGCATTTTAATTCATTAATTGAAATTTTTATAAGAATATAATATGTAAAAATATGTAATTAATATGTAGAATAAAGAATAATATAAGGTGTATATATAAAAGTTACATTAATTTCTATTATTATTAGATTTGTTGCATATATAAAATGATAAAAAAAGTATAATTTCTATTTTTATGGAACACCGAATATCAACTAAACTCGTGTATTAGTATACAACGCCGGTTAAATAAGACACCTGCTAACCTTTCAAACAGTATCGTGTTTAAGAAAATTGTCATTTCACTGATAGGTTGAATGCTTAGAAATAGAATGACTAACTTAAGAAAATTTATAGGTAATAAATTCTTTATTTAGTGATTGTATTAATATTTTAATGATCAATATTTTTACACAAACTACAGTGTATCTTTATGTTATTTTTAAAGATATTTTTGGAAAGGTTATAGTTTAACAGATAATATATTCTACCGTTGTTAATTTCAATATAGATATTGGGGCCAATTTGACAGATCCTATGTATCAAGGAATTTATCATGGGTCACAGAAACATCTACCAGATTTGGATAAAGTTTTAGAACGAAGTTGGAATAACAATATTTCAAAAATTATAATCACTGCCGGTAATATAGAAGAAAGTAAAAAGGCTCTCGAAATAGCACGAACAGATGGTAAGATATTTTTTTAAAAATATTGAAAAAAAAATTTTATTAAATTTAATTTATAGTGTACTATCGCGTCTCTCTATCACAGGCAATAATACTTTATGGTTTTTTTAATTTATTTTTCTATAGAAACATTAATATTTTAGAGACATATATAATGATTTTGATACAATTAACATTTTGTACACCTTGCAGGCTTTCAACTGTGAGGGTAAAACTTATATGTATTAAAATATACAACTACTATTTATTTCTTATTATTAAACTGAAATACAATCATTGCATATGAAGAAACCAGTGAAAGAGAGATGCAATGGTTGCTGTAATTCTATTTTTTAACTCCAACAACAAAATGCATGTCAATGGAAATATCTAGGTACATATAATATCATTATTTTTTTATTATATTGAATATCTTTACATATTAATTCTTATATATATTTCAGAACGACTATTTTCTACAGTTGGTTGTCATCCAACACGTTGTAATGAATTTGAAGAAAATGATCCAGAAGCATATCTGAAATCATTGTCAGATCTCGCTGCAGGCAATAAAGACAAAATCGTAGCTATTGGTGAAATAGGATTAGATTATGATAGATTACAATTTTGTTCCAAAGATATTCAAAAAAAATATTTTGAAATGCAATTATCCTTATGTACTACTTTGAAGTTACCAATGTTTTTACATTGTCGTAATGCTAGTGAAGATTTTATAAGAATTTTAAGAAAACATAAAGATTCTTTAACAGCTGGTGTTGTACATTCTTTTGATGGGAATCCAGAAGAAGCTAATTCCATTTTACAAATGGGATTATATATTGGCATCAATGGATGGTATGTTATATAAATGATAAATTTATACAAAATCAAATAATATAATCTTATTTACAGTTCTCTTAAAACAGAAGAAAATCTTTTTGCTGTTACAACTATACCATCAGATAAATTAATGATAGAAACTGATTGCCCATGGTGTGAAATAAGACCTACACATGCATCTGCAAAAGATATTATTACCAATTTTCCATGTATTAAAAAAGAAAAATGGCAACCCGATAAAATGGTTAAAGGAAGAAATGAACCATGTACCATAGTGTAAATATATTAATCAATTATTAAAGTAAATTTTAAAATGATTAAATTACATTCACATTGGTTATATAGTAAAGGATAAATAGATTTTAATTATGAAATGAATTTTGATTTTTTTTCTTTACAGCCAAATTTTGGAAATACTTGCACGAATTAGAGATGAAGAAGAAGAATATTTATGCAATCAAATATATAAAAACACAATGAAAGTTTTTTTTCCTCATGAGCTCTAACACAATAATTCAGACTGACTTAATTTTGTAATCAGTGTGCATTTTAGTATTATATGCTCATACTTATAATCAGGGAAAAATGCTGTGAAATTATATAAAGAAAAAAAAATAATTTCTACTGAATTCATTTCTGAAAAGCAAGGAAATGAAGGAATTCATTTTTATATGCATAGTTCTATGGATGTGATAGATGTCACATTCCACAGATTTCTTTTCATATAAAATTTTAATTTTATTTTTTTCTTCGTTAAAATTATCATTATCACCATAATCATCATCATTAGAGTTGCACTATTAGCATTATTATAATTATAATTAAAATAATAATTATATTATTATATCTATATTTATCAACATTATTCTATACGTCCTATAAATATTATTATTCTTTTTATTGCTGTATCCAATGATATTAACTTAATACTCTATATGTATTATAATGTTAACCACTATTCTATACTCCTCTTTTATTTTTATAAAAAAAATATACCAAAAATAATTCCATTAAATACACTGTTTGATCATAAATCAATTTTTATATTATTATTGTGAACACCATATTAGAGACATTAAATGAAAATATATTAGTGAATGTATAAAATAAGAAGTTTTAAGTTTTGTACTACATATAGTAGTCTATATATTACTTTAATTAGTATTTTGACAATATTAACGTAAAAAAGAAACTGACATTTTCATTAAATATGTAGATTTTTAAAATGTCATAATCAATCAGAATATAATACATTTTTCAAATATCACAGGCAAAATGGCCACCATAATATATTTGGAAATGTGTAATATTAACTTTGGAATTATAGAACTAAATGCAGAGGTATGAGAGGAGATTTTCCTTATCACCAAAATAAAACTGGTACATAATTTTTGATAAATTTCATTCATGGAACTTTAGAAAGAGTTTGCACCTTTTCATAGACCCAATCATAAGTTTGACTTGCCAATGTCTGTGTAGTATCAATAGCTTTTGAGGCATAATTTTGCAAATTTTCTGGACTTAATTTTCCACTAAAAAAATAAAAATATTTTAAAGCATAACATTACAAATCAAAGATTTCTCTTATACTTACACAAAAACATTATGTTCTAACCATTGAAGAGTTGCAATTGAATGTTCATTTAATTTTTCTACACATAAATTTGAATACACTTTTACGTATTCTAATCCTTGATTACTTCGTAATTTAATTTCATCTAACATTCCCGGAATATAATGTTCTATCTATAAAATATATAAAATATTTGTTATTTATATACAACTTATGTATTAAAATCATTAATACTTACTGTTTGTATAATCAAAGGACTATTTTTTTCAATATATTCCAGAATATTGTCATAAATTTTAAAAAAATGATTTTTTATTATAATATAAACATTTCCAGTTAATTTGATATAAGGTTGACATGTTTCAATAGTTGCTTTATAATATTCAGGTGAAGTAGCTTCTACAAGTTCAAGTGCTTTATAAGAATATTCCTGCATTATAATCCACGATTGTTGTCCACAGGCAAGTAATCCACTTGTTTTCAAGAACTTATTTGTATTAGATGCTAAAAAATTATTTATTAATATGAAAGTTAATAAATAATTAATATCATAAATGAAATAAATATTTTTTTAATTATTACCTTTAAAATCATCATGTTTGTAAATATCATAACCAAGAATGACGCTAATAAAAAGTAATAACAAAATAATTCCCTTTTTCCAGGGAAATTTTTTATTGGCAGAGGCTGTCATTTTCAATAATAATGCCTGTAATAGAGGATTAATAAAACACTATACGTTATAATAATTTCTTAATCATTTGAAACATTGAAATATTCTTATTAACAAGTCTAAAGGTCAATATAAAATAAAAAACAATTGTATCATAGATATATATATATATATAGTACATGTGTAAACATATTATACACTTTTGATTTTTGAATACGTACTTTTTTATCCACAGAGTTGAAAAAAAAGAATGAAAATAAATTCTAAATTATTTATTTTAAAATATTGTCTGTAATTCGTTTTTTTTCTTTTTTATCTTTTTATTTTTTATTTTTTTTTTTTTTTACTAAAAAAAGTATAACGTGATAAATGATGTTAATGTCGTCAGTAATAATGTCGAACAGACAATATGCGATCGATAATCTTCTTCCGAAAAAACAAACTTACCTAACCCCTAAACTTTGAGATTTGAATTTTATGAAATTGTTTGAATATCACACACACGATTTTAGGAAAATAAATATGAGTATAAATAGAATTTTATAATTTATGACTAAAAAATTATGTATATATGTTTAAATACGTCTTTTTATGTAAATCTAGAAAATTAACTAAAACACGATTTACATCACGTAGCGTTCTAACAGTATATTGCTTTGCGCATACGTAAGACATAAACTACTAAACAGAAGTAACGCGGGTTATTTCAAATATATTTTTAAATATATTATTTTATATAAAGAATATGCATCACGTTAAAATAATTGTTCATTTTTTGTAACATTTTAATTTTAAAAGTAAAATATTATTTGTATAATACATATAAATGTTTATATTCAATGCAAAAACAATCATAATTTTACCTTGCATAATTTACTGCAATTATTAGCAAGACCTTCATCTTTACTCTTTTTGCATCTCTCATTAATTGTTTGAAATACTATACATGTTTCTTTCAAACATTTTATTTCCAATGTTGTATATAAAACATGCCACTTAGTATCTACAAAAAATTAAATAGTAAATAAATTAAATTTTATTTCATAGATTTATAAAATGATATAATCTTACCAATATATGATAAAATCAAATGAGATTGATATAAATTTTTGGCATAAATAGATTTCCAAACAGAAAAACAAAGTGAATCTGTAGCCAAACAAGTCACAAGTGCTTTAATTAATTCATCCCTATAATTTGCATGTATTTTTTGTGTAATTTTTGTAATTAACATCTCAAATAGCTTTACATAATTTATATTTTTATTTTTAAATAAAATTGACTGAAAAAAATAAAGAAAAATTATATTTCAGTAAAATTGTCTTGTAACAATTAATAATCAATAATTGAAACTTTGAAACATACTCTTAATTTTTCAATGCTATTATTAATTTCTCTGCCTATAGAAGCAGAAACATTAAATTTTCCAGAACATATATCTTCTACAATATCAAGATAAAGTTCTGGTTTAAGATCATGAAATGTTTCATGTCCAAACACAAGATTGTTTAAAATTTGTGCTACATAACTACAGTAACTTTTTATTCTAACATGGGAGACATTACTTCATGCCACACTTTCAAACCCACAGCTAAGTTTTTTCTACCAGCTTGTGATATTGCCCACAATAAAGAGAGACCAATATTTTTTCTATTTTGATAAGAATTTTTTATTCTGATTAATTTTGAAATGTTAGAAATTGTCATTTCAGGATTAATATATGCTAAAAGTTGCAAAAATATTTTATGACCCAAAACAGGTGACCCTTTTACCATATCAGTAGCCATAGTAGTAAGAGTATTTTCATAAAAAAGTTGTACTGTTTGTTTGCCTGCCATGTCAATTGCTTTTTCTAATACAGAAGAAATTGATTTAGGTACTATACTTAAAGGATAATCTTTAGATTTTCCAGAGAAGATTACATCTTCTTTATCAACAGGTATTTTTATATTAAGAAAAGCAGCAAGATCTTTCAACCAAATTAATGGAGCTTCAGGAAATCTTGTTTGACTATTAATGAAAACATTGTGAAGCTCTGCTACATTAATCTGTTAAAAATAATGTTTTAATATAAATAAAGTTTATTATATTTAAATTTAAAAAAAATGACAAATTTAAAAGATATGTATATGTGTATATGTACCATATTTAATGCATCTTTTATAGACTTTGGTGGCTTTTCTTTAGGTTCATGTTTTTTTTTCTCAGATTGTTGTTTTTGTTGTTTTTTTTTTTCTTCATTTTCTTTTGTTTTATTTTCTTTCTCCTTTGATGGCTTTTTATTTTCTTTATTGTTATCTAAGTTATCATATAAAGTTTTTACTTGACTTAAAGGAACTAAAAAAAACATTATTATTATTATATAATCTAATTCAATATTAAATGAAAATTCAATTTTCAAACACATATATAGAAAAATTTTATAAAAAAATTTATATAAAGAAGATAAAAATTTTTACTGATATTATAAAAAAATGAAAAATATAATAATAAATATTAAAATAATAAAAATATAATAATAAATAATAATAAATAATAATAAATATAATAAATTAAAAATTGACAAAAATTAGGAAAAAATGCTTACGAAAATCTTCCACTTTTGGAGCATTTTCGATAAATTTCTTTTTTTCGGCCTTTGTAAGTTTATTAATTTTTCCATTGTTTTTATCTTTCTTACTTCTTCCAACTAATTCCCATCCACCACTGGACATAATGTAATATATGCAATAAACAAATGAACAGTTAATAAAATACTATCAAAAGGCACAAGTGTTTGTTGGCAGTTGTGTTGTCGTCCAAATATCGTACGTGGTCGCGCATGCGTAATAAATTGCCACGCGGTTTTCCTATATGAAATAACTTTCTTAACAGTTTTCTAAAAAAATAATTAATGATAATATAATACTTTTATTATTTTTATATTCATTATAAATAGTATAATTAATTATAAAAAATTATAATTTATTTTTTACTATTACATTTATTTATTATAAATAATATGAACTTTATAAAATATTATCTAATTTATGTATTAAATAATTTTAAGTTAATTAAAATTTATTAACAATCATTAAAAATAATAGACAATAATTATTTACTTAAATTGTTCTGAACTATTTTTACTTTTTAATGTTTATTTTTAATGTTTTTAAATAAATCTAATTTTACATGCGCTGTCATTCATAAAAGTATAAATAAAATAGAAATTCTAGAGCATAAAATAAAATCGAAATCAAAAATAACAATTATTATTAACAGAAACATAAATGCTTTATTTTCAAAAAAATATATTTAGAATTAATTAAATATTATATTTGACTGATAGCTGATCATTATAGATTTTATAATATAAAAGTTTATATTTATGTTATTCATATTTATAATGACAACATATAATTTTGTGAATAAAAACAACTTTAAAATAAAAAAAATAATTTTCTATTTTATCTTATATGTTTCGATTCCAATTTCTTTAGATATTAATCACGTGGTTTTGTTTACGAATCCGATAATTCAATTAATTATAGAAAAGAACATTATGTTTCAACAATAATCATTAAATATTTCGTGATTGAATAAAACAATAATAAAACAAAATACATTTGACTTTATGATAATCAAAAATAATGATTAATTTAATAAATCAAAAATTCTTGTCAATTTTTTTAACCTTACTAAAGTGACATCTCGAAAAAATTGATTAATTTTATTGTTCTGAACTATTCATTAATAAAAATGCACTTCAAAAATGAATATCGTAGATCTATAGATGAATACAAACCTGCTATACCAATAAAAAGAAAAATGGGACTTTATTGGATCTTGGTTGTTATAAGAATTATTCTAACATTTATTCCTCAAACAGGATACATTCATCCTGATGAATATTTTCAATCTATTGAAGTTATATCTGGTAAGTGGAAAATTATTATTATTTAGATCATAATTAAATAATGATATAAAAAGTTTAAGAAATCATTTTATAGGAGATTATTTTGACATTGATGTTAATAAACCATGGGAATTTAATTCAACTTTTCCTATAAGAACTGTTTTAATATCTCAAATCATAGTTGGTATACCATATTCAATTTTAAAAAAACTTTCACAATATACAGTTTTTTATTTGGGTATATCCTTAAAATCACCATATTTCCTTATATTATTTCCACGTTTATTAGTATGTGGTTTATCTTTTATATCAGATTATTGTTTGTATAAAATCTGTTATATATATGGACAAAATTACAAAATAAGACTGATTATTTATGCCAGTTCCTATGTTATGCTTGTTTATGCTACTCATACATTATCAAATACCATTGAATTAGTATTAACAGCATTATTATTATATTATGCATCATATTCTATGGCACATTCAGAAAAGGTATTATATTTATAATAAAAATTTATTGATAAGTTAGAAAATACAATTTATGAAAAAATAATATTTATTATTTCAGGTAGTTATTCAAAGTGACTATTTATCGGATAAATATAGTAAAGCAAAAACTGGAATAGAAAGAGTAAAATACTATAAACTTAAAGCTTCATTGCCTCCTCATTCTTTAAATCATTGTATAAAAATTGCAACAATCACTGTAATTGGTATATTTAATAGGCCAACATTTATTGCATTTGCCTTCATTCCTATCTTCTTTTGGTTACAAAGAGGTTTAGGTTCTAAAAGTGTAGGATTTGGACATTTCCATGTCCGAATACTCACTTTTATTGCTTGTGGAATACCTACTACTATCTTTTTTATTTTAATCGATAGTTTTTATTTTGGCTACTTAACAATGGCAGAAATAGGTAATCTTGACATTAGCATGAATAACTTTGTCGTAACACCACTCAATTTTCTCAGATACAATTCAAATACTAAAAATTTACAAGATCATGGTTTGCATCCTTATTATTTACATTTTATAGTAAATGTACCTCTTTTATATAATGTTCTTGGAATTATTGGCCTTCTTACATTTGGAAAAATGTTATATAGGTAAATATTTAAATTATTGTTGTAATAATATTTTGTATAAAATATGAAATACAAAATAATTAATAGAATAGTTAATTTTGATTTACAGTGGTTTAAAGGCACAATGGTTAAATTTGCCGCGGATACAAAGTGTTGTTGGTTTAATGACAACATCTTTTATTATACCTATTATGTTGTTGTCAATATTTCCACATCAAGAGCCTAGATTTATTATACCAACATTATTACCTCTAACTTTTTTGTATGCACCAAATATAAATCAAACATCAGGAGTTGATACTATTACTCGTATTGCGGGAAATAATGAAAATACTTTTACAACAGAAAGAAATAAGTTGAATAAACTACAGATCTTATGGTTTATATGTAATATTGCATTAACATTTTTTTATGGATTTGCTCATCAAGGTGGAGTTTTACCCTTATCATCTCACATAGCAACTGAATTAAAAGCAAAACCAGATCTTACACATATACATCTATTTACATCACACACTTATTCTATACCAACAGCACTTCTACATTTAAGAAATACTAGAAAGACATATGTAAGTAGTGGAAATCATAAGTATAAATTGATAAAAGATTTTTATCTTTATGAACAAGGTTCAAAATCTATACAAGATGTATGTAATGTTATTGCTTTAAAACTTCATGAATGTGAATATAAATATGCTACTAAAAAAGTACCATATAGATTATATTATGCTCTTCCTGCTACGGATTTGGAAGAGTTTATTTTTATTCAAAATAATATAAATTTATTTGATTATCATATTGTACATAAATTTTATCCACATGTTACCATTGAAAAATTACCATTTTCAAAAGTTACTAAGAATATTACGCGTTTTACTCATTTCACTATATTTTCAGTAGAAAAATTGACTGAAATTATGAATAATATATTGGAAACGTTTCAACAATTCCAATTATTATTAATACGAATTGAATATTGATAGATAATAAATATAAAAGTGTACATATGTCCTGAAAGAAATTATTATAATTATAACTACAAATTTAAATAGGTTATGATATATATATGTATGTATATATATAAATTAATATTTTATGTATATATATATATATATATATATATATATATATATATAATAATTATTATT